TGCTAAGTTGTTGAGGCTGACTTTGAAATTGTGATTCTTCTGCCTCACTCTCCAAGTCACTGGCATTACAGGCATGTGCCACCACTGCTGGCATCTCAAATTAATTTTGAACTTACTCAGTTATTGTCACTTCTGACTACCCTAGGCATCCCTAGCAAGGACAGATCATTTGCCATGAGAATGAGAACATGCCAAAAAACATGTTCTCTGTTGACAGAGAGGCCCACCCCACGAGAGAACATGCAGAAAGCAGAAAGGGTTATGACAAGCCTGCACCTTGCTCTCTGCTGATCTCAGGAAGGAGAGTTTCTTTAAAAGTGCTTATTTTCATTTGGAAACATGAAGCTATGGAATTGATGTTCTTTCCTACATATTTTTCTCTTTTCATTCCTTTTTTTTTGAGGGGCTGCTGTTTCTTAGATGTAACAGTGTTACATGCTAGAAAAAATAGCAGTAATCAAAAAGATATGGTTTCTTCCTTCATGGACTTTGTAGTATTGTGGGAAAGACAAACATCAATTAAACAAATGTAAAACTGTAGTAAATACTCTGAATAAGACATACATAGTACAAAAGAATACAGGATAATATGTAGTTTTGTGTATAGTAGTAATTGAAACAGGTGAGAATGAAATCAACTGAGGGAGGATAAAGTAGAATGAGAGGTGAGCATAAGTGATTAAATACAAATTTTAATGATCTAGTGAAAGAGAAAAGATAGAAGAGGTTAATCTCTCTTTTTCTCTCTGTATATATATACACATACATACATACATATATATATATATATGTGTGTGTGTGTGTGTGTGTGTGTATTTTTTTCTCCTCTTTGAGCTCAATTATTAAGTTTATGGCCCACCAGGATTTGACTATCCTTGAGGGAGGGGATAGTTGTCTGAAGTGATAATTTCAAAAACTATTCCCTAATGTCAACCATTATTCCTTTGTATATTTTCCTGTGACAATATGGGGGCAGTTTACTTTTTGCCCACAAATGGTCTGAAATGTGTAAGAGTAGTACATCTAATATTTTTATCTTCATGGCACCTCTTTCTCCTCTGGGTTGAAAATAAGTGTTGCCTATTCCCTTTCCTATCACAAATTATGCTCATTATATTATGTTTTATAGTTCACCAGCGATTACACGAGTTCAAGTAGAATAAAGGTTCTTCAAATGGTCACCAGTATATTAAAAAAAATGGAGCACCTCAATTAATAGCTTCTGAGGCTAATGTGTTCCTGTCATTACAATTAATTTAATTGAGCAACCTGGTTCCCTTAGCTTTTGCGCCACATCATGCAGAGCTAGTGATGAAGTTTGCAAAGAAAAAAATTTGAAGGCCTTTGTTTTTGTTAGTTATGATCCAAGTAAATAGAATTCTCACATTTTAAAGTTCAAAGAAATGAAAACTTCCAAATATTATCCTCAACTTTTTGTTTTATGAGGTGTATCAGCATGGGAAGTCTCATTTCCTGTCCCTAGAGCAGTTATCCTAAGCAAAATGATATTCCCAGAGTCATCTTTTTGTGGTTAAAGACAGTTGAAGAAACTACAAAGAATAGTAGTTGAGGAAACACTTGGTTTCAGTTTCATTAGGATGCTAGCCAGTCTGTGCATGGGGTCATCCTTCCCATCTTTTTCAGAATTGAAAACCAAGAGAATTAGAGTAGATATCTGTTTGGTGGTGTTTTTTTTTTTTTGCTTTTTTAGTTGTAGACAGATAGCATGCCTTTATTTCGTTTATTTATTTTTTTTAAAGAAAGAGTGGGAGAGAGAGAGAGAGAGAGAGAATTTTTTTAATATTTATTTTTTAGTTCTCGGCGGACACAACATCTTTGTTTGTATGTGGTGCTGAGGATCGAACCCGGGCCGCACGCATGCCAGGCGAGCGCGCTACCGCTTGAGCCACATCCCAGCCCTATTTCGTTTATTTTTATGTGGTGCTAAGAATCATGCCTAGTGCTTCACATGTGCTAGGCAAGTGCTCTGCCACTGAGGTATAGCCCTAGCCCCCTGTGTTTGGTTTTTTAAAATTAAGCTAAATTGAAGACTGTTGCCTATAACTTTGGCTATGTTGTCGTCCTAATACACTCCCTAATAATTAAGTATTCCTCCCTAAACAGTAGGTATTTTCTCACAGTAGCAAGGCTTTGCCATATGGTTGAGTAGAGATTGTGCTAGGGATTCACAGCCTTACAAGAGTCAGGAAGAAAGAGGCTAGGCCAACAGTGCTTAGTTTACTCTTTCATTCTTGTAAACCTAATCAGAGTGCAAAATAACCCAGTTTCTTGAGGCTTAGTATTTCTCAAATGGTTGTCTTATCCCAGGAAAACAAGGCATCATATTCATTGACGTTTATAAGTGTTGTCTATTTATCATCACTTAAACCATAATATTCACTTGGGTTAAAAAAAAAAATGAATCACAAGTCCATTTTTACTTGCTTTCTTGAACCAAGTTGGTTGCAATGATATAAATGAGGCCTGCTTATTACATTAATATTTTGTATATTTGGCCATTTTTACATTAATAGGTAAATATCCAAATAGTAAAATATTCCCCCTCCCATAGCCAAATGGGTTGTATCATCATAAAGTACCATGTACAAGATTAAGTTCTAGATATAACATTTTGTTATTGTAAATATTGTGTACCTATTTTTTATTCACATTTTTTTTTTACTGATATCCTTTGCAATGTTATTTTATTTTTTTAGCGTTACATATTACACATTCCTTTGTGTGTGTGTGTGTGTGCTAGGGATTGAACCCAGGGCCTTGTGCATGTGAGACAAGCCTCTACCCACTGAGCTATATTCCCAGCCCCATATTAGGCATTCTTAATAGCAATATAAATTTGCTACTTCATCTCAGCATACAAACATTGTTCTACTTATAGTTTCTAAATTTATCTTCAGGTCTTTGATTAGATACTCATTCCAAAGCCTGGGATGCACTGCAGAGTTTCCGGGAGATATGCTTCTGTTGTAATATTAGACTATGGTTTTCTTTAAGCTTGTTAGTGGGTTTTAATAGAATTGATGATACTAGCATCATTAAAAGTTTATCTTACTGTTGCAGTGAGTTTGAAAATTTTGAATAATGTTGGCATAAAAGATCAGCTTCCCAGAATACACATTTGTAGATTAAAACAGTGTTGTGATAACCTAGTAATTAGAAACATTGTAATAATATTATAAGGGCAGTCGTCCCCCTTTTGGAGTGTATAGTTGCCTAGCACTACACTGCTTGTCCCTTGACTGACGTTTTAATGTTTTGTTGATTCCTTCAGGACAATCAGGTCTTAAATTTCTTCTTATTTCTCTTTCTCATATGGTTCCTCCACCTATCATTACAGAATTAGGTATAAAAAACAAAATATTTCCTTTTAAGTAGTTTTTGGGGTTGCTTGTTGGTAAGTCAGTTTTTTTCTTCCCATCTTCAGTTTAGTGACCACTTTAGTTGTTACGGAGCCATAGAGTTATCTGAGCTCAGATAACCAAAGGTTGCATGTTTTTTGGCCATCATCCCCTCCCCCCACCCATGATGGGCAGTGTTTTATTGACTTTCATGACCACTTTCTAATTAGTATTTTAAAGAAATAATTTGATGTAATTTATTGTTAGAAACAAAATATCCACAGTACTAATAGTGCTGCACTAAGAAAAAAAATGTTCTTGTATTAATTTCTTTTGTTTTCTGAGCTACATTTAAAAGTTGGTCTAGGCTGGAATTGTGTGGCTCAGTTGGTAGAGCACTTGTCTAACATGTGAGAGGCACTGGGTTTGATGCTCAGCACTGCATATAAATAAATGAATAAATAAAGGTCCATTAGTGTTATAACCAAAAACAAAGTTGGCCTAGCATTTAAAAAAAAAAATGCTTCGTGAGAATTTATAAATCTCCATCATACCCACTATCCCCCAAAATTTTAGGAAAATATGTTTGATGAAAATTGAGTGTTTTCAACTACATTTTCCCCATGTCAAAGAATAACCTCAGTTTCTTTTAAAAAATCACTGGGCTTATTAGCTGCTATTGTTTCTACAGATTCAGTGTTGTTTCTGACTGTGTAAGAATAAGATCTTGTTTTGGATTTCATATTCTCTGTAGCATTCTTGTTACGTCCTGTTGTGTTAGAATTGAGAAGAGATAACTGTTATTAAAGATCTTATCTTGAAAATTTATAATAACCTAGAGGTGTTAACAGCAGTAAAATAGCACATTTAATTTTGATTTTAAACACAAAAGTTATATGTTTATTACAACCTAAGTATAAAAACTTACTATATGTAATAGAAAAAAGATTGGATAATTAGTCTCATTACTTGAAATTAGATGTCTAGTTGGAAAGCATGTTATTTATTGTGTAATTACAAGTGTGGAGAGAGACTTTCAGAATTTCAATAAGCAAGAAAACTAAAAATATACTGTTACGTAAATAATATATAATAATCTTGTTAAATATGTTCATATGTGTGTATTGATAACTGTGGTTGGCATGATTAATGATCTTTACCAAATAACTATGTATCTGTATTTTTAAAATGTTGTAAAGCAGTACTACTTACCAAACTGTGGAATGAAATTGGGAACCATTTCAAAAAAAGACATTTTTCTGTATTGTTCAGATCATATACAGTTGTTTGGCTTTTTAATTTTTATGATAATAAAGGCAGACATTTTTAAAAAACTTTTCTCCTATAATTCTAAACAAGAATTTGGGTTCATTACAATTTAAACATCTTAGCTTTGCCTAGAATAAAAATGTACTTATTAATTTTTGTATACAATTTGTTAATTTAGTATTTGCTAATTTATTATGTAGTTGAGAACTCATTTAACATAGTTATTAAATATTTGCTAGACTATTTGGGAAACTTCTAGAACTGGATGTTAAGTTTTTCTTTTGCTAGGAAAAGTAACTATGCATTAGTAATTGTGCAGGCAGTGTTGATGTAGTATGCTAGAAGTTTTTATAAATCCCCTTTTCATTACAGATCTCCACAGGATAAAAGAACACTTCTTGTGAATTGTCCGAATAAAAGTCTTTCACAGTCTTTTGAAAATCTTCTTGATGAACCAGCATATGGTTTAATACAAGTATGTTTCTTAAGTTGATCTTGTATTAATTAATTTGACTCAATATTTTATATATATTCTACCTTTTACCTTCTCAGAGAATATTCAGAAATGAGACTTGTGTGTGTAAATCTTTATGGAACTATACTCTGTAATTTTATAGAAATAGTAATATGATCCATATTATTTGCAAGTCCTAGAAGCTTCCTTGGTTATTATTTACTCTTAACACAAAATTTTCCCTTTATCATAATACTAAAATTGGATATCAGTAGATTTTCATTACAGTGTTCATTGGTTAAGAGTCAAAAAGTAAACAAATTTGAATTCATAAATGATCAATTTAGGGAGAATCTGGTTTGAATTTTTATTTTTCATTTACATAGGTTATTTTGGGGTCATGATAATCTAATTCTCTAAAAGTATTTTAGCATGTTCTTGCATTTGGCTAAAATTGTGCACTTAGCACGGCTGAATTTCACTCAGATTACTATGTGAACTAATGAGATGGTTACTTATTCGTTTATGCACTTATTTATTTAACAGATGTTTGAACACATATTTCAGGCACTGAAATATATTTCTTTGGTTTTGAAGATATAAAAATTAATGAGATTAATTAATTAATGAGAGGGAGCTTTTTAGGAAGGAGGATAGGAAGCTAAAATTGTTTAAAATAAAAAGTGAGGGGACAGCTTTTCTTATTATGAAATAATCAGTTACTTAATAAATATTTTGCTAAACTTGAATGAACAAGCAGCATATGTTTCAGAAGTAACCCTCGGACCTAACAGCAAAAGGCTTTTTCTACTGTTTTCTCGGACAGCATTGTCCTAGAACAAATTATTCTTACTGGTATGATTTTTTACTATCACTATAATTGGGTTAAAATGTCAGCTACTACTTAAATACCGAGCTTCTAAATATAGCTGTCAAATTTTGTGCTAGGTGGTAGCACACACTTCAAGGAATATATATATATATTTTTTTTTGTAAAGGCAAGACTGCTAGACAGAAGAAAGCTGTTGTGGGTCATTCACCACTGGAAAGTAAGCACTGCATATATTTCTGATATATGCAGATTAGATGAAGCCTGCAAATCATTTGTTTATCTGTAATTTAATCAGTAGATTCACTTGCTGTTTATTATGCTATTTTGACCAAATGAAAGGTTGGCTTAGAAAATTTAAATTTTTCTTCGAAGAAAAAAATCAAGATAATCTTAGAACACTTTATTTTAGTTCTGATTTTTCCTCTTTAAAAAAGCTTTACTTTTTGTCCTATAGTGGGGGATATTATTACTCTTTGTTTGAATGAATAATGCCGATATTTTCCTTCCTGTTACATAGAAAATTAAAAAGGATCCTTACACAGCAACTATGGTAGGATTTTCCAAAGTGACAAACTACATTTTCGATAGTTTAAGAGGCAGTGATCCCTCTACACACCAACGACCACCTTCAGAAATGGCAGATTTTCTTAGTGATGCTATTCCAGGCCTAAAAATAAATCAACAAGAAGAACCAGGATTTGAAGTCATTACAAGAGTGAGTGGAGATTTACATTTAATACAATCTTATTATTTTAATGGGAGTATGTGCACTGAATGCTGTAGAAATGAAAACTCAATATTAGTGACATCTGCCTCTTTCCCCTAACTTGTTTTTACAGCTTTTTGCTAACATTTCTGACAATTAACACTTGTCTTCCACCATATTCTTGATTGTTTTCCATTTAACACTTTCTCTTCTTTAGTGTTGTTACTCTTTTTTCTTTTATTACTTTTTTCCCCCTGTTAGGGGATTTTACCACTGAGCTACATCCCCAGCCCTTTTTATTTTGAAATAGGGTCTCCCTAAGTTGCTCAAGGTCTTGCTAAATTGCTGAAGCTGGCTTTGAACTTGCAATCCTCCTCCCCTGCCTCCTGAGTTGCTGGGATTATAAGCCTGCACCACCATGTCTAGCTCTTTGATTACCTTTTTTTTTTTTTTTTAATTTAAAAGAAAATCTTTTTGTTTTTTTAGTTATATATGACAGTATTTTGATTACCTTTTAATAATTGTGAACAGGTTGTTTTATTAAGTGAATAGGAGTAAGTGATTGGTGAGCTTTGCATATTGCCTCTTAGTTCTGTTCCTGATTTGTGTTTTCTTGGGAGGCATCAGAGACACACTCCGGTTTTTCTTTTCATGTGAGTCTTTTATTTTTTAAGTCAAATGGTTTTTTGGCCCTATTAATAGTACATCTTAATATATGCTTAACAAGAATTTTTAATTTGTTATAATTCTAGACTTACTTATAGAAAGAAAATTATAAATATCCAAGTTATGCTTAGTTAAAGGTTTTATCTTGGAATTGGTATTTTTAAATTACCAACATCTGTTAATTGAATTTAAAAAAAAGAGCTAGAAAATGTCAAGTGGAACTAATGGGTTATGAGTCATTTTTTTTTGTTGTTGTTGTTTTTTTGGAGGGGGGCATCCAGGGATTGAATTCAGGGGCACTTGACCACTGAGCCACATACCTAGCCCTATTTTGTATTTTATGTAGAGACAGGGTCTTACTGAGTTGCTTAACACCTTGCTTTTTGCTGAGGCTGGTTTTGAACTTGTGATCCTCCTGTCTCAGCCTCCTGAGCTGCTGGGATTACAGGTGTTGCCTGGCTATGAATCAGTTTTGACAAATACAAACTTTAGTTTGGAAGAAGAGCTAATTTTTAAAAAATTTTTATTAGTTATTGATGGCACTTATGAATTTATTTGTTTATATGTGCTGCTGAGAATCGAACCCAGTGCCTCACACATGCTAGGCACCCCAACCCCAGAGCTAATTTTTTTAAAAATAGTTTTTAGTTGTTGATGTACCTTTATTTTTTATTTATTTATATGTGATGCTGAGGATCGAACCCAGTGCTTCACAAATGCTAGGGAAGTGCTCTGCCACTGAGCTACAACTCCAGCCCCAAGAAGAGCTAATTTTAAGACATGGTTAATACAAAAATTTCTCCTTTTAAAAATTTTTTAAACCAATGTAGCATACTACTTGATTTGAAAGGTCTCAGAGTTTATATGTTGAATGTTCTGTATTTACATAACTGAATCCCAAAATAGCAAAGAAATTTTTTTCTTAAATGAAAAATGTTTTTAATCTAAGGGATTTCGTATCTCTGAATTTGTAACACAGGTATTTGTATAGTAAGAGGCGGAAAATGTATTTAATGCTGATTTATAATCCATGGACTAAACACTAGAAAATAAGGAAAGAGAACTCAAGTTTGAAAAATAATGTTTCTGTATACCTTGATTTAATCTAACTTGTTAAAGAAGTACTCTTATTACTTATTTTAGATTGACTTGGGAGAACGACCTGTTGTTCAAAGGAGAGAGCCAGTATCACTGGAAGAGTGGTCTAAGAACATTGATTCTGAAGGAAGAATTTTAAATGTAGATAATATGAAGCAGATGATATTTAGAGGGGTAATTTAAAAACTCTAATATTGATTATATTATATACTGCAAGTATTGAGGTATTTGGTGTTAGTTTTTTTTTTTAAGGGGAAGAATGAATTATTTCTTTGAATGATACCTTATGATTTTTTTTAAGGGTAAGAATGAATTATTTCTTTGAATGATACCTTATGATTTCTGGATTGAGAGGGACAGAGCAAAGTACTTATTATGTCCCTGGGGGTCAAGTATGGAGATAACTGCCCCTTAAACCTAGGGGCAGATATTCTTCCTTAGTTGAAGTTTTATGGGTTTTGTGAAGGAGGCATGTACCTCAGTAGCATTTGCCTTATCCAGTAATTTTGGGCTTAGAAAAACTCATTAGCCCCACTGTTCACTATATAGTCTACTATGTACTCTGCATTGTTGTAAACTTTCTAGCAGCTTCTTACACCTTCAGATTCTTGAAGTGAAAAAGAAAATAGTATTCACTGAATTGAACTATTTTTATGTATAAAACTACCTTTTTTTCCCCCCAGTACTGGAAATTGAACCCAGAGGCATTTTACCATTAAGTATGTCCCCAGCTCTTTTTATTTTTTATTTTGAGACAGGTTCTCTCTGTGTTGATTAGAGCTTTGCTAGTTGCTAAGCCAGCCTTGAGCTTGTGATCCTCCTGCCTCAGCCTCCCAAGTTGCTAGGATTATAGGCATGTGCTATCATGCCTGGCTCTCCATTCTGTATGTGAGGCAGAGTCTTGCTAAGTTGCTTAAGGCCTCATCAAGTTGCCCAGGCTGGCCTCAGATATATGATTCTCCTGCCTCAGCCTCTTGAGTTCTGATATGAAAGGCATGTGGCACTGCGCCCAGCTAAAACTACCTCTTAAATACTAGTTTTCTTATTTATTTTCTTGCCAGTTTTGTGAACTTACACTATTGCTGTTTATTTTTTGCTAATTTAATGTACATGCTTTCTTCAGGGTCTTAGCCATTCATTGAGAAAGCAAGCATGGAAATTTCTTCTGGGATATTTTCCTTGGGAAAGTACCAAGGATGAAAGGACTCAATTACAAAAGCAAAAAACGTAAGTACTGGTCTTTGTTTATCAAAGAAATTTCTGTAACTTAACCATACAAATTAGCTTAGAGTTTGTAAATGAGAATTTGAAATAGACTAGAAAAATAGGAAAATAATTTCATTTTTATTATTTTAACTTAAAAATTATGAGCACTATAATTATTTCTAACTAGAAACAGTTAGAAGGACCTCATTGTATATCGGTGAGTATGTAAAAGGTGAGTATGATAGAAAAATTCAGGTCCTCTTGTTCCAACCTTGTGTACAAGCTTTTTGCGTACTTTAAAGATAATTATTTAGACCTGCATTTAAAAATGTATCTTGTTCATTTTGACTCAGTTATATAATTTATTCTGAAATTATAAAAAAAAAAAAACTCATGAGATAAGTATGTTTACTATTTAGGTTAGTTACCTTTAAATTATTTTCATGGTACTCTATAACATACTGATAATTCTTTTAGAAGAATGTTACTGTTTTAAGTTATTTTTTATACTGAAAAGAGTATATTTTGCAGGTATATTTCTTGTTCCCCATTGTCAGTCTATCCTTTGACTTAAAGCTACTTCTATCCTTTGGGGCGTTTTCAAAATCTCTACCAATCCCAGTACTTCTGAAATATTTTTACATTAACAAATTTCTACAATAGACTGGTTGGAAAATGGAACTCTTATATCACATTAAAAAATCACATTTAAAATTATTCAGAAACTTTAGTGGTTAAATAGTTTTAATGACTAGAATAACTTTATGTATAATTTTAAGAATTGGGATGTTTTTAAAAGTGTACCTAAAGTTATTCTAGCATGTAGCCTAACTTTATCACATAAACTTTGTGACATGTATGAGGTTATTTTTTGGTTGTTTTCATTCATTTACCATAACGTAAAGCAAAATTTCACTGTCATATTTATGAGTTACCATCCCACTAAACATCATAAATGCTTTGCTGTACTATTTATAGAAAATCCCAGTTAAGCAATGTTAAAAGAAAAGTTTTCAAATAGTTTTTTTTTGGTATAAAATTGTTTTCCATAGTGATGAATACTTCAGGATGAAACTACAGTGGAAGTCTGTCAGCGAGGAACAAGAGAAGAGAAACTCGAGGTTAAGAGATTATAGAAGTCTTATCGGTAATTTTTCTTAACTTTGGAAATGTAGGAGAGGGGTTTACATTGAAGTCTTGATAAAATTAAAGAAGCAAAGATGGTTCAGTTTCAAGGTTCAAAAGAATCAAAATTGCAAAGTACATTGGGACTTGTATTATAAAGCTCTTGATTTTTCTCATCCAGTAGACATGAATTCAGTCATTATAAGTGCTGAGGTACTCAATTTTCATTTTCAAAATGGGAATAAAAAAAGATTGTTTAGCTTTATTTGCTTGTTGAGTTGATTTCATTTTTAAAAACTTTAGTTTTTCTTTACTATGAAAGTGATTTGTGTTTATTATAGAAAATTAGAAACTAAACATGAGTAAAAGAAGAAAATAAAAATTAGTTTTGTTTCTGTCTCTCAGAGATAATCATGGTCAATAACTTTGATTTATATCTGTCTGGACCTTCTCTAAGAATGTATACATTTTATTTTTTAATTAGGTAAATAACTTAAGTAGTAAATTTTTGTATTTGAAAATAGAATATTTGATAGGGAATAACTATTCTCTTAAGAGGTGATTGATAGAATTTTATCATAAAAGTATTAGCCTGTGTCTAGATACTCATTACTGGGTTTTCTTGCTTTTATGATAAAGACCAGGTTGGTATCAATTATTGAAGGATACATAGTTTCTGTTATGTACCTTACAAGTCTGTTGTCTGCCTCAGTTCATAATATCTACTTTACAAATGAGAAAATGGGAGAATCGAAAGCATAAATGATTTGTCTAAGGTCACATGGTTAAGTTTGAGCCCAATTTTAATATTTACTGTATTATCATATGGTTTTTCTGTAATTTTAGGGTGACTTTGGATATTAGTGGAACTTAGATTTGAAACTTTTATATTGGCTTTGGAAAACCATAGCATCACTGGTATATAGGGATGTGTTGCCACCACCTCTCTTCCAAGAAAAATTCTCTCAATTATAGTGGAAAGCCCAACATACCAGTGATCTAGTACCTATAACAGAATAAACTGTATCCCTCCTCTATTAGGGCAAAAGGTTGGAGGTCCTGAGAAAGGGAGTTATCTAAAGTTTCCAAATAAAACTCCCTGTTTCCATTTTCAGTAGAAAAAATGGTAATGGATATTTTTTTCCCTTGCTTGGACATAAAATATTTAACCTGGAAGGGATCTTAGAGGTTAACTGATTCACTATTTTGAATCTTTTTTCCCCTACATGACATATTCTCTTCCTTTTATATCAAGTACCTTTGATGTTGACTGTCATCTTCTCAACTTTTTATTGTGTCCTATTCGCATTCTTTCCAGGAGACTGGTAGAAATATCCAGATATTTTAAATCTCCATAGCATAATTTGAATTGAGATGTATTTTAGTAGTTTTCTTATTTTTAGCAGATAATAAAATTGAAGTCCAGAGAAGATTAGTGAATTTTTTAAAGCCATCTATTCATGTAGTTCCACATTCTAGACTTATAGTCAAACCTAATTCTTAATTAAATGTCCTTTTAACTATACTATGCTATTAGTATAAATATAACAGGTTAGTTTTAAAATTCTTTTTCTGTAATACTTTTTCTAAAAAACATTTTTTGAGAGCATTTATTTTTTTTATTGCTGTGACCAGAAGACCTGACGGGAACCATTAGGGGAGGAAATGTTTATTTGGCTCACAGTTGGTAAGTCTGAGTCCCCAGATGACCAACTCCATAGCTCTGGGCCCGTGGTGAGGCAGAACAGGAACATTATGGTGGAAGGATGTGGCAGAAGGATGCAGCTCTGGACATGGCAACAAGGAAGCAGAGGCATGTTCAACTTAGTGGGGACAAGACATAAACCCCAAAGCCACATCTTTAGTGACCAATTTCTTCTAGCCACATCCTACCTGCCTACATTTGCCACTTGGTTAATATGTTATCAGTAGATTAATCCACCAATTAGGTCAAGGTTCATAATCCAGTCATTTCAACTGAAAAATTTTACATTTTCTAACAAATGAGCTCTTGGAGGATATTGCATATTTAAACCATAACAGTTTGCCAAAAGCTTTTTGGGAGGTTTTAATTAATCTTATTAAGAGCAAAACTGGGGCTGGCATCATAGCGCAGCGGGAATGCTTGCCTAGTATGTGCAAGACGCTGGGTTTGATCCTCAGCACCACATAAAAAAATAATTAATAAAATAAAGGAATCGTGTCCAACTACAACTAAAGAAAATATATTAAAAGCAAAACTGTACAGTAGCCTGTAGACCATGTGAATTATGATGAGAAACTGGCATGTTCAAATATGATAAACTATTGCAGCATTTTAAGTTAGGGTATCTTATTTATATTTTAAAATCATTTTTTACTGCTCTGAGGAAATGGGTTGTATAAAGGTAAGGGTAGGAATAGGCACTCCAGTTACTAGGAGGCAGGTATCTATGCAAGAGATGGTGGTAGCAGAGATATATAGAAATAGAAGGATTCATGTCCTATTTTGGTGATATAATTGATAAGATTTTTTATTGTATTAAATATGGGGTGGAATTTAAGATATGAGGTATGGGGAAATTTAATCAGGTGTTTTCACCTAATAAAAGTATTTCACCCCTTAAGTTAAAACATACATATGAAATATTAAGAGCTAATCACATAGTCTGAAGTGGTCTGATAGGAGATATAAATTTGGGTATTATTAATATCCATGAAATATATTACCTAGGATTAAGAGAGACAATTAGAGAGCCCAGGGACCCTTGTCTTTATTTCACTGTTTTCTAACTGCACATCAGAATCACCAGGGCATCTTTTAAAATCACATTGATTATTTTAAGCATTCCTACATTCATTCATTCAATTAAATTTACTTAGTGCCTGTTATGTACTAGGCTCTCCTCTAGGCATTGGGGATTCATCAGTGAACAAAACAGGCAAAATTCTTGCCCTCAAGGAGCTTCCATTCCTGTGGGGAACAGACAGTAAACAAGATCAGTAAGTAATGTGGTATGTTAGTGGTAAGTGCTGAATAGAAAAATAAGGCAAGGAAGTGGTTAGGTAGCTTGTGTGTGATGTTGCAGTTGTAGCGTGGGCAATTATAGAATGCTTTTATTGAGATACTGATATTGAATATTGAGTAGAAACTTGTAAAAGGGGAGAGGTAAGTGATGCAGATTGGTATATAGGTAAAAGGCATCCTAAGCAGAAAGGATCAACTTGTCTTAGACTTGTTTTCATCCCAGAATGTTTTTACATGTTTGAGGGTATAGAATGGAGACAAGTGTGACTGGGATGAGTTGGGATGGAATATAGAAACTGATGAAATCAGAGAGTAATTGTAGAGGATTAGATATAGATCTATGTAGAGCATTGCTATTGTAAAGACTTCAGCTTTTATTCTGGGTGAGATAAGAAGCCAATTAAGGTGTTTTTTTTTTTTTTTTTGTTTGTTTGTTTTTTTGGTGGTGCTGAGGATTGAACCCAGGGCCTTGTGCATGCAAGGCAAGCACTCTACCAACTGAGCTATATTCCCAGCCCCCAATTAAGGGTTTTGAGCAGAATAGTGACAATGATTTAACTGTCTGGAGATTAAGTGTAGAGTGGCAAAGGTGGAAGGAGAAAGATCATTTGAGGCTATTGCTATCGTCCAGGTGAGAGATGATGTTTGCTTGGTCTGGGGGGCTAGCAGTTAAGGGGGAAAGGTTTGACTAGAGGCTTGAAGAAGTGGGTATATGCTATGCAACTATCTGGGTAAAAGGCATTCTGGGCTCCTGACCTCTGCATGTTTGAAGAAGAACAAGGAGACCAGTGTGGCTAGAATGGAGTAAGGTTGGGCTGGGAAGTAGAATGAGTTGGGTGGGAAAACTGAATATTTGTTTCTAAATGTATTTTGAAGGTTTAACTAATATATCAGTGTCAGACAGGAAGACAAAGATTAAAGGATGATTCTAAAGTTTTTAGGGGAACATCTGGAGAAATGGAAGTGCTGTTTTACTAAAATGGGAAAAGTTATGAGTGAAGAAAGTTTGGAAGAGAATGTTTGGAATTCAGTTTTGGACACTAATTTTGAGATGCTTCTTGGATGTCCACATCTAACTAGGAGGAAGTCAGAAGAGAGAAAAGGGCTAGAGATAAATTTAGGGGTCATTAATATATATATGGTATGAGACTTCATGAAACTATGAATTGGAAAACTAGATAAAATTCCCAAGGGAGTAATATATTTAGAAAAGAAGAGGTATAAGCCCGAGGAAAAGTTAGGAGCAAAGGAAACTGAGGAAAAGCCAGAGGAAAAGAAAACAAAATCTTGGTATCTTAAAAGACAAATAAAGACTGTATTTCAAGAAAGTATGACTAGGATGTCATATAAGATGAAGATTTGGATTCACCATTACAAAAAATATTGAGGTTATTGGAGATTTTGATTAAAGGAAAATTTTCGTGGGTTGGTGGATGTGACAACCTAGAGGTAATCCAGAAGGAGAGGACTTGGAGACAATAAGTACAGCTCATTGAAGTTTTGCTCTAAACAAGGAGAGAAAATGGACTGTAGTTAAGAGGGAGAAGTATAAGAGAGGTTTTTTGATGATAAAAGAAATAATGGCATATGGTTGAATGTTATGGGAATAGTTCAGTAGAGAAGAAGAACTGACGAAACTGGAGGAGGAGGAGGAAATAAAATTAGTAGAGGAACTACATAAGAATTGCTACAGTCCTTGGGTAGCCAGTGGTAATGGATTTCCTACAGAAAAGAGGGGCTGGTCCTAGCCATAATCATCAAAACTCATTATAGTGATAGGAGAGAACAGAGACTGTATAAACTCATGTGCAGTTTTGTGGTTAGAATCGTGGGTATCTGGGAAGTTCTCCTTGAGTAGCTTACATTTTCCCAGAGGTCGGAGGCAAGATGTGAGAGTAAAATGTGGGAGAAGGTGGAGGCTTGACAAGAGGTGTAAAGTAGTTAAATGAATTGGGAGAATGAATGGACAAGGGAAATAGTGCATGATTGCCAGACAGCATTATAGGCTCACTTGAGGTTGGTGATGCCAAGTGGGGTCAACCAGCATGATTGTGTTTTTCTTAAACTTTTTTTTTTTTAGGTATACCAAGTTCCATGGAGAATTAGATTTCACTAGGGCTTGACTTAAGTGCTCATTTTGCTTCTACAGATACCTTATAAATTACCATTTTTATATATCATTTTTTGATCCCTTTTACAATTTCTGCCTGGCTTGTCATTACTACGTATCTACATAGGAAGAAAGAAATACTGATAGTTCATGAGGATCTGAACAACTTTTTACTGTGTTTAAAATACACTAAGGCTGATAGTCTGTGTTGGCATTTTGTCATTGTAAATTGTGCTTTAATTAGTAGAAAATTATTTGTCAACTGTGAAATGAGAATGAAATATTTTGACATTTTAAATTGAAATTTTATATTCATAGCATGAATTTTTTGGTATAGCTTTTTTGCTTATTTGTTTGAGAAGTATGTATATAATCCTATAGATACCTGCTTGTATTTTAAAAAACAAATGTATTTTAACAGAAAGATGGAATATTGTTCTAATAATTTTTAAAAAATATATTTGTATAATCTAAACTTATGCTATCTATTATTAGATTCTACTTCATTGTGAAATACCATCCTATTTCTGTGTAAAGAGTTTTGAAAGTTTTTCAAATTATTTAGTTTAATAGGGGGAGGATAATTAAAGCTTTACAACAGACTTGATTTTGGAATAAATCATTTTGAGTTTGTTGCTTCTTCCTGATTTTCTGAGAAATTCAAGTTGGAGAATGCCTTTTTTGTTGTAGTCTCACAAAATGCACTTAGTAGGCATTAGTATTGGTGAATTGAATTGTTGATACTTTTGGATGTGCTCAAGGTTTCTGTTTTTAATGATGTGAAATTCATTTCCATCATCAAAGTATGGATTTTAATTTTTTAAAAATTATAAAATTGCTTATAATATTTAAACTGAATGGTATGTATATGAAAATATGGAAGCAATTTTTCCTAAAGATAAATTTGAAACATAACAAGAAAGTTGATAATGCTTCTTATAATGAAGGAGTAATCATGAATGAAATAAATTTCTGATTACACTTGATTGGCTACTAACTTTTTAAAAATTATTTTTTTCAAGTACTACTACCTATCACATGCATTAATGATGGGCATTTTTATTGCTAACTAATGTGAATTATTAGTGTTGCTTTTAATTCATTGAAAATATTTTTGACTGTGCAAATAAAATGTTTCTATGTTTAGATTAAAACTGAAGAATACTTAAAAATTTGTGAAGAAGTGAACTTTTTTTTGAACAATATTCCAAAATGTCACTTTACTCCATATTTGAAATATAATTTGATGAATTTTTCTTTTTTTATGTAAAACTTGGCAAGAAGTGAAATTAATAGCAAGTAATTCTGTACTTATAAAGATATAAGCTTTATAAGAATCTGTTTTTTGAGAGGTTTTCAAATATGTAATAATTTCCCTCTTTAGAAAAAGATGTTAACAGAACAGATCGAACAAACAAATTTTATGAAGGTCAAGATAATCCAGGGTTGATTTTGCTTCATGACATTCTGATGACCTACTGTATGTACGATTTTGATTTAGGTAAGTTCTTCTCTGAAGTCCTAATTTAAAAAGACTTGTGTATTTTTATTTTAGAACTTAAGTTTATTAACCAGTTAAAAATAGGTAATAGTTCTGTGGACTAGATTCATAAGGATTGCTCCTCAGGGGACTAGAAATTTATAAGGCATAAATAAGTATGGTTCTCAAGCCAGGAGCCCCAAATTTGCTGCCATAAACTTACAAGGGCACTGTGGAATCTTTTAAATTTTTGAGAGAATTATAGTGACATATATAGAACACTGTACTAAGTACTAGCTGAAATAGTTAATTTAACATTATGTAACTATATTCCTTTGATGAAGTTATATATTTGCAGAACTGGGTTTTTTTGGCTGAGAATAGTGGTATTTAGTTGAATTTCAAGGTTTGATATGCAGTGTAGTACCCAACAGATGCTAAGTTTTTAGGGCTTAAACACAGGCTGATTATTCTTTATCTGAATGCTTTGGACCAGAACAGAAGTGTTTTATTGGAGTTCATATATATATGAACCTTGTCATTGCTGAGGCTGGCTTTGAACTCAGGATCCTCCTGTGTCAGACTCCCCAGCCAGTGGGCTTACAGGCATGCGCCATCCCACCTGGCTCTAGTTGAGCATTCCTAATTTGAAAATCTGAAGTCTGAAATGCTTCAACATTTCATATAAGCACTCAGAAAGTTCTAGTCGGAGCATTTCAGATTTCATGTTTTGGATTAGGGATGCTTAATCTGTACTTATGTTTGGACATAATTATGTAATAATTGGAGCTGTTATTTCTTTGAGTCTAGAAGTACCTTCTAAAAAATTACTGGGAGAGTAAAAATGCCATGAACTGAGAAAACTTGGGAATCAATGTACATTTTATTTCTGGTATGGTTTGATGTCTTGCATAGGTAGTTCATATTATTTTGAAGGGCATTTGAAATTTACTTTTCTTGGTAAATGTTCATACCAAATATGAGTTGTTAGCACTGTGCTGGAGGTGAAAATGGAAAATTGTATAGAGAAAGGATGCTAAGGGGTGGAAAACTTAAGGAACTAGTATTTTAAGCGACAAGAGAATTTGAGCAGTTTCTTTAAAAGGACCAACAAATCCCAAAACATCAGCCTTTAAATAAGTAAGATGAGCGAGTTCTTAGTTACCTACCATGTGAATTGTTTCCAGTTAGACAATAATAGAAATAGGTGTTTTCCAGATTACTTTTGTAGAGCTTTAAATATCTGGAGAAGATGTTTGGATACTTTGCACATTGAACCCAAATAAACCTTGAATTATGGATACATTTCCTTCACTATTTGTATGTATTTATATTTTCTTTTTTTCTTAAGAGAGAGAGAGAGAGAGAGAGAGAATTTTTAATATTTATTTTTTAGTTTTCGGCAGACAAAACATCTTTGTTTGTATGTGGTGCTGAGGATCGAACCCGGGCCGCACGCATACCAGGCAAGCGCGCTACCGCTTGAGCCACATCCCCAGCCCCTGTATTTATATTTTCTTGTCTTTATGAATTGAGGGAAGATGTAAGTTTGTTTGTGGGTATTGAGGTAACAGCCTATTTGGTGAGAATAAATTGAAAATCACAAGGTTTTCTTTAAAAGCTAAAATGCAGCCAGTCCTGTCTGTCGTATCGTTAGTGAGCTTCAGAGTGGATCATTTAAAGCATATTGGTAGAGTGCTTTTCATGTTACAGAGTGAGTTTTACTTTAATTTTAATAGTAGTCTTTTGAAGAAGTAGGGAAGTAATTCCCACTTTATGAGTAAGGTTATACTAATAGAGACAGTGACTTGAGTTCACACAGGTAGTAAATAATTGGCTTGGAGTAGAGCCCCAGAACTTTATTGCAGGCTGGCATTCTTAATCCCTCCATCTTTAGTACCCCAGTCCCTTGCTGTTTTAATTTCTCTTACCACTGTAGAACATCAGAGTATTGTTTTTGGCAATAGTAGTCATTGCTCCATTCTCTCAAGTGGTAATTTTGAGAAAGGAATTTGCACATAGTCCTGTATCTTGACGGGAATACATTCTGAGAAATGTGTAAACTTGCCTCTCCCATTTGTCTATATTAACTCCACATTCTTTCTATTCAGGCATTTCAGTTATCTGAAACACAGTCAAGATTCCCACTGATAATTCTAGACTTAAGAAAAGTGAAGATAGTTCTTATAACAGCTATGGACCAATGTCTCTTGCCCTTTATTTGCAGTAGAGCAACCTGTGCTATAAATTTACCCTGTCTCATAGGTGATTCCATAATATTGAGATATTTGGCACCTTAGCCTATAGATGACATATATTTGCATTAAATTCATTCTCAATAATGAGAAAGTTGACCACATGATTAAAAGCAGAACTTAAGAGTAATTTTTAATTTGGTATAGATACTGTATTTCAGGAAGTATCTATGGGAGATATCTTTTTTACAATGTATGTTGATAATCATGATCCTGCATAGATGAGAAAAGGTTAAATTACATTCAAAATATTACGTATAAGAAGGCAGGAGAGTGTCTAAAATTCTTTTAAAAGATGATTTTTAGTTCTCAATATATATATTTGATACTCAATATATGTATTTGATACTCCAAGGGATAAGCTTCAATTACCTGGAAATTGACCTGTATGTAGATTAAATTTTCTTTTCAGCACAAGAAGTGTACAATAGGATGATAAAGAGTTCATTTCTCACACCTCTCAACTGAAACAAATTTGCTTTGAAAATAATTTTAGGGAACTACTTTAGAAATTATAGTAGTACTGATGTGCATCAGTCAGCAGTAGTGCAGAATCTGAGTGCCATTGAATGCTAATTTAAACACCTTTAATCTTTCTTTAATTAAAAGGAATTTGTACATTAATTCCATCCCCATAATTCATGGCATACCCTAAAGAACATTATGTATAAAATAAAATAGATTTAAGGCTATCAGAAGACAAAGATTAATTTGACAACTGGCTTCAGCTAAGACTTATAGAAGAAATATGGTAGTGATCTCATATGAAAGCTGAAGACTTAAAGGATTAGCTTTTTAGAAATTTTTATTCATTATAACTTAATAAACCCTTTTCTTTTCCTAGAGAAAAGGTGCTTTGTTAATCTTTTGAATAGCACTCTTTGAAATTTTTCCATCGTAGACCATATGCAATCAGATCCAGTAGAATAGTACTCTTTTGCACTTTGTTGAATTCAGATTAGATTTCCATTTTGTCTTAATTGATTTAGACTTTATATTTGTAATAGATTTCACTGTGTTAGTGCCAGGTAAGAAAGTTCTGATGTTAACAATTTAGTCTTCCTTCCAACTTATTCTTTTTCTTAAAGTGTGCATTATTTTAGAAACCGTCTTCATAAATTTGTAGAAGTGCTCACATTTAGATATCTTGTCATATGCCATTTTTTCTAGCTCTAATTTGTAAATGTCTTGATAACTCTATTGTCTGTTACTGTAATAATTGAATGTCTTCCATGGGAACCTAGATATCTTTTTATGCTCATGTGAGTACAGCATACTTTGTCACAGAGGACAATGTAGACCCAATGAATTTATAGTAGGATGTGTGGAAAGGCTTAGCAGTAGACGATAGGGTATAGACTCAAAGCAAATTTAGCTTCATCTATTTTCATAAAGAGATCTGAAGGCCTTTTTCTGTTACATGTTTTTTTTATTTTTTATTTTTGGTACTGGGTATTGAACTCAGGGGCACTCAACCACTGAGCTACATCCCTGCCCTGTTTTGTGTATTATTTATTTAGGCAGGGTTTCGCTGAGTTGCTTAACTCTTGATCCTCCTGCCTCAACCTCCCGAGCCGCTGTGATTACAGGCATGTACTATTGTGCCTGGCTTGTATTACATGTTTGATCTGAGTTTTCTGAAGAGATTTTGGCTTACCTGCTTTCTGGGGTCATTTTTAAAGTTTTCCTCCAAAACAATGATACATAATTGTGTATCATCTCTAGCAGAATTACCCACTCCCCCTTTTAATTATAGACTTATGGGCTTCAGTATGGAAAAATTTTGGTGAATAAAAATGTAACCTTTGGATCTGCACATTAAAGACTATATTTTCTGCAGATGTCCCAAGCCACCAACCAAGAAATCTCCATTTAATTTTAACAAATGTACAAAAGCTTCCAAAGTTGAATATCCCTTTGTTGGTTCAAGAATTGGTGTCTGAAATTGAATTGTAAAAGAAGGAAATTAAGGGGTTTATAGCATGGAATAAAAAGAAACTTGTTATATTCAGATGAAAAGCAAACCAACACTTTTGTTTGTTTTAAAGTGAGGAATCTGAATTCTTATCTTACCAATTTTTCTTTTAATCAAGTATTGTAATTAGTGTCATGGTTGAGAAATTATAATAGCTTTAAGAGAAAGGTTAGAGTGACAATTTAACTACAAAAATATTGATTGGGTTTAATCCATTTGCTAGTATTGTCTGGGTAAAGAGTAACAAGAAAAGAGAAGGATGTGGATATGATATTTTTAAAAGTTTTTTTTTGTTTTGTGTGTGTGAGAGAGAGATTTTGTGTGTGTGTGTGTGTGTGTGAGAGAGAGAGAGAGAGAGAGAGATTCCTTTTGAATTACCAGTGGTCTGCTTGCTAAAGCTGTTGGACCCTTTTCTATTTTATTTTACTTATTTGTAGTAATTGGGCATTGTTGACCACTGTGGCCTTTCAACATTCTTACCTGGATTTTTGCAGCATTATTCTTCCTTAATTTTTTCCCCTTGCCTTCCTGACTGTTCTTATTAAATATACCTTTGAATAAGTGTTCTTACATTTAATCTTCCTCTGGTTTCTTCTTTATCTCCTTTTCTCATGATGCTGTTGCACATTATTTTTATTATCTGCTCTTTATAGGGATACCTTCACTAAAATGCGTTCTCCAAGATACATATGTGCTTGACATCTCAATATAAAACAACTTATATTTCTCACGTGAATGCTTCTTCATCCCCCCCCCCCCCCCCCCCGTCCCTCTCCCTCCCTCCCCGTCTCTCTCTCTCTCTCTCGTTGTGTGTTTGTGTGTGCTTGCACGCGCGCTCTCGGGGTTGAACCCAGGGCCTTGTGCACCTTACCAACTGAGCTGTATCTCCAGCCCCCTGTTTATTTTCGTTTTTTCATGAAAAGAAATACCTGCCACTTTTTCCTTCCAAAGGCAATACATAATTTTCAGTGAAATGGTGGTGAAGTGCATGCGCGCGCACACACGCACATGCGCTCACACACAGTTACATAAAGCATAGGTTTTCAGAGATAATATTATTTTCTTCTTCTTAGGCTATGTGCAAGGAATGAGTGACTTACTTTCTCCTCTTTTGTATGTGATGGAAAATGAAGTGGATGCCTTTTGGTGCTTTGCCTCTTACATGGACCAAATGGTAAGAGCAGGGATTTTTTCCTTAAATGAAACTCATTTTGAAAATTTAGTTTTGTAACTAAAAACGTTGGCAAGACTATGGGAGAAAAGGTACATGCATACATTGTTGGTGGGACTGTAAATTAGCGTAACCACTCTGGAAAGCAGTATGGAGATTCCTCTAAAAATTAGGAATGGAACCACCATTTGACCCAGCTATTCTGCTCCTCAGTGTATATACCAAGGATCTAAAATCGGCATACTGTAGGGATGCAGCAACATCAGTGTTTATAGTGGACAATTCACAATAGCCAGACTATGGAACCAACCTAGGTGCCCTTCAACAGATGAATGGATAAAGAAAACGTGGTATACATACACAATGCAATAATGCTCAGCCATGAACAAGAATGAAATCATGTCATTCGCTGGTAAATGAATGGAACTAGCGACTATAATGCTAAGTGAAATCCTAAGACTCAGAAAGTCAAAGGCTGAATGTTTTCTCTGATTCGCAGAAGCTAGTGTAAGATTAGGGGAAAGGAGAGAGAGGGAGACGGAGGTGAGGATGGGGAGAGAATTCCATCAAAATAAAAGAAAGATCAGGGGAGTAGAAGAAGGTGATTGAGGGAGGCAGAAGGAGTGGAATAAGGGAAAATTAGGGGAAAGAATCTGACCTAACTTTCCAATATACTATAGTGATTCTCACCATTATGTATATTTACAAGATATTAATTTGAAAAAACAATAAATAGAAAGATCTGTAGAGTAGAAGAAAGTGGGGAGGGGAAGGGTAAGTACTGGGGACTTAATTGGAGCAAATTATATTCCATGCATTTATAATTATGTCAAAATTAATCTTAATGTTTATAACTATTATGAACCAATAAAAATTTAGTTATTTAACCTTATTATATGACTGATTTTTATATTTAGCCAACTATGATGGAGCTTAAAAAATTAATCCATTGTATTTTCCCTCTTTAATAACCTTTTAAAAGATTTGGAAATACTGGTGTTGTTTTTAATATAAAAAGTAGAAAATATGTGCCTGTAGTATAGGAATAACCAGGATTTAATATCAGTAAGTGCTTATGTTCTTCAGAAGAGCCATGAGTCATTATAGAATATTGATGAAATAGATGAAGTACTTGAACTCTTCCTTCATCAGTTTTGGGCTAAAGTTTAGCCATGCCAAGTAATATCCTAACCTTTTGTGAACATTTTGGATTTTGTCATAGTGATTGATTTTTCTCCACGTGTTTTAACTATTTGTAAGTCTGACACTCTTAGCAATTGTTGTTTTCCCAGAAGTCTGTGATTATTAGAATTCAACTGTCTATATAGACACGTTAGTTTAAAAAATAAAAAGAATTTATTGTCAGCAGTTTATCTAGGAGAGTAGTAGAGAGAATATTAACAGATAAAATAGAAAAGTCTTCTCAAGCAGTCTGTTAGAACAAAGGCAGAAAGAGGTATGAGTAGATAAAGGCATATGAAATCCGAAGACCTGACTATATACATAGGTCACTGTATTTTTTCAAAATAAAATTAATAAATTTGATGCTGGCTCTTTTATGTCAGATATTGAAATGACTTGTTTCAAAGGGGATAAAGTACTTTGAATCGATAATCATTTAAAATATTTCTGAAATGTAGAATTTAACTCAGAGCTTCTGGGGTACAAATGTGAAATTTGAAAGTTGTACTCTTTTTTTCTTCTACCCTTTTTGTTTATTTTTTTTTCTTCTTTTAGTATTTTTCACTTTTGTCTATTTCAAGTCTCTTGTTTGTAGTTTGAAAACTAATCCTCACTTTTCTTAGTTCTTTTCCAAATAATATATTTGATAAGATTGATTAGTTTTAAAATGATCTTTTACTGTTAAATTAATTTTTAAATTAGTTCTTTGCCAAAAATTAATATTTTTGGATTATTTTAGAATAATTATCAATTGTAATAATCTGGTGATATAATTTGCCTTCCTTATCTTTTTGATTGATTGATTTGCCTACCTTCTTAGTTCTAATTACTCTCAAGTGCTCTAGAAACCTGAGGCATTTGTTATAAAGGTCTGTACAACTGATACTAATTACATTACAGCTCTTGTCTGCTTTCTTTGTGTTTTTCTTGTTTATTTTCTTTTCACTAGAGTTAGTATGTTCCTTGATAAAGGAATCATGTTTTTGTTTTATTTGTAGCTTACCAAAATTTTCTTAATGCCCAATCTGAGGTAATTGAACAGATTTTTGTAGAATAAACATGAATCTTTAAACCTCTTCTTATAGTAGGTATATATCTTCCCAAATTAACATCATTGTACTGTATTTAGCTTCTTACTATAATAGTTTTCAATTAAATGAAACCAGTATTAGTATGTTCAAATATATTGACATATAATGTCATACAGTGCATGTATACATACCCAAGAAGTAGTTAATTTTTAAAAATGAGATATGTGTTAAAATGAAGTTAATTTTATTTCATGTGGTAATTTTTTTTTATTGGTTGTTCAAAACATTACAAAGCTCATGATATATCATCTTTCATACATTTGACTCAATTGGGTTATGAACTCCCATTTTTACCCCAAATACAGATTGCAGAATCACATCAGTTACACACTCACATTTTTACATAATGGCATATTAGTGACTGTTGTATTCTGCTACCTTTCCTATCCTCTACTATCCTCCTCATGTGGTAATTTGAAGGAATACTTAATGATGGAAATAATCTGATAAATGTTTATTTCCCAAATATGTTCCTTTCACCAAACCTTTTATGTTGTGAAGAAATAAATGTGTCAGTGTGCTGCTGCTATTCCTGCAATTCTTTTTTATCTAAATCAAATGAATAGGGGAGAAAATAATCCTTAGTTTAAGACCAAGGATTTTTTTCTCTTCCCTCCCTTTGTAGTATTGCTTTAGCTTTTGAATTAGTTGTGTATTTTTTAACATACTTGCATGATAGAAGTCGAACATTTGTCCTTAGACATCATGCTTTAGTTATAGTGGTTATGTAGTATAAAATGTTTTTAAAATATTAATTGTGTGGTAACAGTTGTTTCCTTTTGAAGCATCAAAATTTTGAAGAACAAATGCAAGGCATGAAGACCCAGTTAATTCAGCTGAGTACCTTACTACGATTATTGGACAGTGGATTTTGCAGTTACTTAGGTAAGTTTAGTGAATCAGACTATACACGGCAAATTGTAGGATAATACGATTTTGATATATACAAAAAAAAATGTGAAGAACTCTTTAAAAGATGTAAATGCTCATTGCTATTGAGTTCTGAGGAATGAAAGTATAATAATAAACTATCTTTATAAATATCTTTATAAATATAACTATCTTTATAAATCTTAAAACATTTTGTTCATAAAATGAATTAAATTTGAATTGTTTACTTGAATTGATAGAAGGCAATTAAATAATATAGGGGTTCTAGTCACCTAAAATGCAGAGAAAAATTTCAGTTTGAGAAAGGTCCCTTGGTTTTGACATAACTAGTAGAATAATTCATATATGTGTTTTTTCTTCTGTATAGAATCGCAGGACTCTGGATACTTGTATTTTTGCTTCAGATGGCTTTTAATTAGATTTAAAAGGGAATTTAGTTTTCTGGATATTCTTCGATTATGGGAGGTAAGTTCTGAAATTATTATGCAAGTGTAATATTTATAATGGAAAGATTCAATTTATTCTGTAGAGTATAAATGGATTGTCATAGCCCAAGTGAAATTTTTAAGGTACTTACCTTCCAAAATTCTTGTAAGTTTGCAGTCTGTCCTTAAAAATTAATGACCTCAAACCTAATATATGGTCTTTTGGAACTTCTTTCTTAAAATCACAATTACTATGAGATTTGAGGCCAAGAGGTATACCAGAATAGTTCCCTAGACCATTTGCTATTTATATTCTTTCTTTGGGATACTCGAATTTATGTGAGCCTCTGTCACATTCTGGTATAGGTTTGTTTAGCATTCAAATTGATGAGCCAGTCAGTTGAGTTGGCACTTAAGCTTAGTTTGTGATCTGTGGTGTTAGGAGGGGACTGGCATGTGTTTTGCTCTTTAAAAGAAATGTAAGTTACAGCAAAATGGCAAGAATAACATAACTAACATTCCACATTCCAAATTTAATATATATAAATATTTTTTTATGTTTACTACTAGTGAACCCTTTCTCTCTTAATCTTTCAAGAAAAAAAAAAAATCAAAGCTAGTTAGTCTTTTTCACCATCCCAGTTCCTTTTCCTTCCTGACACTCTAGAGGAAATTCATTATCATAGTTTTGGAGTACATCCTTTTATTCCATTTTGCACCTCTGGCAAATCTTGATAAAAAAAGAAACAAAAAACCCCTTTAATTCTCAACTGTCTGTTAATAACAAATCAGTCTACTTTTTAATACAATATTGGTATAATGACTGATTGTTGCCTTTATACAAATGAAGGGATGACCAAAATTTTCCCAAGGAAATAATCCATTTGAATAATAAACTTACAGTGGAACTCCAGTGTCCTCTAAGACTTTTACAACTGGAAATTGATTCCAGTTACCATTAGAGAAAGCAGTGTGTAATGGAAGGATCATTGCTTTGTACTTGTTAGATCTGTTCTGAAATTGGAAGTAAAACTCCAGGTTCTTTGATAGAATCATGTTTAAATGTGTATCAGTTTTGTTAAACTAGAATCTCAATTTCTTTAAAGGATGAATTAATATTTATTACCGCAAAGCTAGAATAACTCCTCAATCTGTGTTTATCAAATAAATTGGAACTTTTTTTAAAAAATTTTTTATTGTTGGTTGTTCAAAACATTACATAGTTCTTGATATATCATATTTCACACTTTGATTCAAGTGGGTTATGAACTCCCATAAATTGGAACTTTTAATCGAAACTTTGAGGTTAATTTTATTGTAATTGAACTTTGGGAAATTGGAATTAGTTTGAAAATGATTTACTTCTTTTGAAAGAAGTAAACATATTTCAGGGATGCACTAATAATGTTGTTTGTATGAGCCTTTTTGTCTCTCCAGAAAAGGTATTATTAGGTACAGCAATTAGGTACATTAACAAGGTCTTAAAATCTGAGGGCATTACCTATATTCAGGGAAAAGTTTAACTACTGATCAAACATTCTATGTTTGGGTAAAAATTTTGGATAATTGATTTAGTTTTTATCATAGCTGGAGGATACTCTGAATTATATAATACAATATAAAGCTTTATAAATTTGGAATGTAGAGCTACCTATGTATGTTTTTCATCCTATATACTGTATAATTAAATCTTTTTTTAAAATTCAGCACATGTGAGGCACTGGGTTCCATTCTCAGCACCACATAAAAATAAATAAATAGACATAATAACTATTTACTTATTTATCTACAACTAAAAATAAGTAAGAAACTGAAGGTTCAGAAAAATACTGAAAGTTCGTCTAACCCGTATATCATAAACTTAACCCCACAGCTATGGTTTCTTAATAACACTTATCATATTGGTAAAGTTCAATGATTTGCATATGGTAGTTATCCACAGATCCAAATTTAGAATACATCCAACATTAGTCTTGATACTAGTTCCTTTGTAGTTAATTAGTTACTTTGTAAGACTTCTTCACTTCCTCATTCACTAGCTAGAAAAATAGTAGGCTGTTCCAACTAGACAATTTCATTGCTTCCAAGTTCAACATTGTATTTGTGAGAAAAATATTTTAGAATTGATATGACTTACTAAATAATTCTTCTATTTTTTTTTATAGGTAATATGGACTGAATTGCCATGTAAAAATTTCCATCTTCTTCTCTGTTGTGCTATTTTGGAATCAGAAAAGCAGCAAATAATGGAAAAACATTATGGCTTCAATGAAATACTTAAGGTAGTATTCCTTTAATCTAGATTTTATTGTTTTGGCTTTTTCCTCTATTTGGTGTTCCTGATATGAAGAACATATTCTTGCAATGTTATTGAATCCCTTGAGTAATTACTTAAATTTTATTGGTAAAACTTTGACTGGTTTTCTGAGAATGATGGTTCACCATATACATATTGACCAGTTATTTTTACTTGGCCAATGAGGAAGAAAAGGAACATGCAACAAATGCTCTTTTATGTAGTTTTGTTTTTGAAAAAATAATGCTTTTGCTTATTAACTTTGAGATAGCAGACTTGAGACAGCTGCTAGATTTAATGTTCCATAAGCTTATTAGCTTTAAACCTTAAAATAATCTGATGAAAGATATATTGGATTTCCTGTGTATTTGTAGTCTGTGACTATTTCTTAAGTTTTATTTGCAGTGCAATATAACTGGTAATAAGTTGTTTGTATAGTAAAATGTAATGGTTTCAGTTTTGATTATCATTTATTTTATTGGTGTTTTTAGCATATCAATGAATTGTCCATGAAAATTGATGTGGAAGATATACTGTGCAAGGCAGAAGCAATTTCTCTACAGATGGTAAAATGCAAGGTACACATACAATGTTTCAAATGATTGCAAGGCTTTTATTCTTTTCTCTTTTTGACGGAATCAAGAAAGATTTTTCTTCTTAGAAGTAAAATAAGTGACAGTTTTAGCAAGATAAGAGAAGGCACAGAGAATTGAACAGCTTTTTTTTTTTAATATTTATTTTTTAGTTGTAGTTGGACACAATACCTTTATTTTATTTATTTATACGTGGTACTGAGGATTGAACCCAGGGCCTTGCACGTGCCAGGCTGAGCCATAACCCCAGTCCGAACAGCTTTTTGTTTAGTATCATAGATTTATAGCACTTAATTGAAAACAAATGGCTACTTATATCAGAGAGGAAACATTTAATAATAAGGCCAAGTGGAAAAAGTAATGAAAATATTTCTACTACAGCTAAAGAGGATATAGAATTAAAGCAATGATACATTATTGAATTAATGAATACAGAATAAGGAACTATTATTAAATGTGTAATGCCCCAAAATAAAAAGATTCTAATAAAACATAATTAAATGAGTACTAGTCTGTCATTGCATTTGTATCAACCAAGCTCTTTAATTATTTGTAAAAACAAGGTAAATTTGATGTATTATCTGAATTAAAACCAAATCAATGTATATTTTAATATATATATTTAGTTGTGAATGGACCACAATACCTTTATTTTATTTATTTTTTTGTGGTGCTGAGGATTGAAACCAGTGCCTGACATGTGCTAGGCAAGGACTCTTCCACTGAGCTACAACCCCAGTTCGTTTGATATAGCTTGGCTTGGCTTTTATATTTTTATAAGAATTTGTGTTCAGTACATGTACTTATACTTAGTTCAGCTCAGACATTTGATAGCTGTTCTGTTTCAAAACAGTCAATTAGATATTTCTTCCATTGTTTACTGAGAGAGATTATATAAAAAATATTATAATAAAAAAGAGAAAGAGATAAATACTAAATACTAGAAAACTATATTTGTAGTTGTGCTTAGATGGAGTGGAGAGTGACTAATTTGGAAACTGCTTGGGAATCACTCATAAAATAAAAATAAATGGCTAGAATTTTGTTTGGAATGGAGAATCAAGGTGTGAAGATATATGACATTTACAATGTCAGAACAAATCTTCAGATTCTGGACTCAGAGTAGTCTTAATATAAGTGTTACTTCATGATTATTTTTCCTTAGTAGCAAATGTGGTTTTGTTGTTGATTTTTTTTTTTTTTTTTTTTTCATATGCAGGAATTGCCACGAGCAGTTTGTGAGATCCTGGGACTTCAGAACAGTGAAGTTACAACACCAGATTCAGATACTGGTGAAGATGAGAATGTTGGCATGACTCATCCTTCATCTATGTTTCATAGTAACACCTTGCCCACCCTTGCTGCTAGTGGAGCCAGAGATGACAGTCCAACACACATATCAGTGCCCCCAAATGTCAGCAGATTAACACCTGCATGATCATTTGTCTTGCTATTTTTTTTTTTTTTTTTAAAGACACTTGGTTGCAACTCCTTTTTAAGTACTTGAAAGGTGGACATTTAAAATCTTGGTATTGATCATGCTTTAAGGTTTATGGAAAGAAAGTGTACTGATGTTCTTGCATTAAAGCTTTACAAAGTTTTAAACTAATTATTTTTGTAGTTACTTCTACCAAATAGCCTTTCCTTTTCAAAAACATTCCTTAGTATTTTTATAGCCAAGTACATTTTATTTTCTTGCTGATGAACTGGAATTGGATAAATATTACAAGTAGATGAGTTGGAAATTATGCACTTTGAAAAACATTCAATTTGTTTACTCTTTAAGTTTAGTGGGTTTCGAATTTGATTAAATTAAATGTTGAGCCTTTATATAGCATTCTGAGCTGAGAAGTAGATTGTTACCCAGTGATGAAATTTAAAAAATAAATGAATTTGTTTTTTTTCTATTGTTTACAACAATACTCAGCTTAAATATTTATGCTGGTTGATTGTGATTTAAATTGGACATTTTCATCAATGCAATTTAATGTGTAGATAAAAAAACTATTCAACCATTATAAGTGGATTGGCAGTATATTTTTTACATTGAACTTTTCTTCACTTGTACATAAAGACTAAATGTAAGTACTATTTATGAGTATAAGAAAGGATAGGCATATTTTCTTTAACTGAATAAACTTGACTATTGATTTATATAACCTGATTCAACAAAATTAATACATGGCTTCAATATGAGATCTTTTTCAAAACTATTTTCTTAACATTTATTTCGTGAGAGTACATTCAATCCTGTACTTGGTATAATTTTAAAATTAATTGCTTGTAACCTCACTTTACTAATAATGTTTATTATCTTTCCTAACAATGCATTAACTGATTAATCAGGTCTTTAAATTTTTATAAAATGCTTTTTGCAAAAAGCTTATGTCAAAAATTTCAAGATACTATCATGAGTCTCAAAATAATACTTTTTTGTATATGAATGAAGCTGTTGTTTTTACCATGCAGTATTGCATGATTTTAAGTTATGTGGAATAAACATAACTGTTCCGTTTTAATTGTAATTTGTTAACTCCTGTACATATCATTAAAATAAATTTGAAGTTGAATTAGTGTTTTCAGTTACATTACATTTAGAAATAGTCTGCTAGTTTTTCGTCAGAATAATTAAAAAAAAAATCCAAGATAGACTTTAGTACATCTCATATTTTTATGTTATTGAAATAGTCATTTGAGCTGTGGAAGTGGTAAAGAAATGTGACTCCTTATAAGTGAAAACATTTTTCATAAGCATGAAAATGGGCATAGTGTTGCCTTGGATAACCTAATTATTAGACTGAGTAAAGCAACTTACTATAATTGATGTCAATAGTTTTAAGGTAAAAGTTGTGTAGTTGTAAAATGGTCCAGTAGATAGCTGCTCCCCCATCCCCAGAAACTTAGGGAACCAAATGAACTTTTTTCTTAGTTGAGTATTAACTGACAATCATGAACTTTTAGAAACCTTAGATTTTAGTTTTTAATATCATGTGTGTTATCTTTCATCAGTTAATAATGAGTAAGCCTATTTGGAAAAAAAGTAAACTGATCAAAAACTCAGCATCTCCAGCTTTTCATTTCCTGCTATTCAGGAAATTGCTTAGAACATCTTGATGTCCTCCTTGTTCTTCCTGGACAGTGACTTTTTGGTTATTTTCCTATTACGTAATATGATATCTACTTCAGATAATTTTTTAATCTAAATACATTCAGTTAGTTGAACTTTTATCAAGTTTCATTATAAAACTGCTTGTTAAAACATAAGTTTCTCTAAACAGCGAACTTTTCTACGTAGTACATTTTCAATATGGCAATGAAAATATAGTATAGTGCTAAAGTCTTAATCAGTCCACAAAATCTAGGTAGCAGACACCATGTAAATTTGAACTGTTGAGATTGCTGAAATATATAGTTCAGGTAAATTTCTTCATCTAACTTTTGATAGGTTGTTTATTTCTGTTTTCACAAGATACTGTGTCTCCATCCCTATAATACACAAAATATGTGCTCTATTATTGGTATGTAAAGTTTTTAAAATTCAGATAGTTTTTTTTTTTTTTTAACTGTTAAGTATATTTTCAATTCTGTTCAGTTCTGAACCTATGGGAAACCTGTTTGCATTTAAGAACTTCCCTGTTTTCATTATTTCATATGTCTGGATTCCTCATCTCTTTATATATTAGGAACTTTAATCTTGGTGATAAAAGACTACAACTTTTTTGAACAGTAAGGAAATATAGCCTTTTGATATAATATATTTGACAGCATAATCAAAAATTGGGGCACGACTCTTACATAAAGCTTTTTTTTAAACAATCGTGCTGGTATTATTTAAAAATCACTTATTATATTACCATCTTTGGTGCAAGATTAGGGTACACAGACTACTTATGAATATATGTTAATGTGGTGGTGATGATTATGCAGTGAAACATGGTAGTGAGTGATTCTTGAATGCACCACCATTTGAATGATGCAACTATATTTGGCCTGTTCTCTCCTTGAGATCTTATGACATGGGAATTTTAAGTGTGGATTTTTTCCCAGTACTGGGGATGAACTCAGGGCCTCTTGCATGCCAGGTAAATGTTCTATGGCTGAGCTATATCCTCAGCCCAGTTGTGGAATTTGGAGTATTGTTCTAATTACAAATGTTTTCCTCACTTTTTTTAAAAGTAGACTACTATGTATTCTACCCATCTTGACATAGGGAGAAATAATGTGTTGCCTTTATACAGAGGCCAAGGTTGGGGGAAGGTGAACAGTTTATACTGGATGTATTCCTACTACTCTTTTTGATAACCTCAGCATCACTCTCTGCCCATGGAAAATTATTATGAGCTCAAGTTAAGAAAATTATTATAATCAAAGATCTATAGTAATCAGGAATATTTACCTAATCTGGTTCAGTCTCTTTAGATTAAGTTAGAATGTTTGGATAGTAGAACATAAACTATTAAATAATGCCTCTCTTAGTTATACCACTGTTGTTCCTCACATTTTTTTTTTTTTATGTTCTAAAAACAATGAAAAGAACAAATTCCAGTGAGCTTAGCTGTGATCATCTGGTTCAGCTCTTTTAATTAAAAATATTATTAACCTCAGAGATAGACTTTTGCTGTGACAGTAATAGGTGTTTCCAATACCAGTCTAGATTGGAGGTATAAGATTCAGTGACTTAGTATACTGCTTAAAAACGAACAGGGCTCTTGTTAGATTGCCTTAGGTGTTAGATGGTCTGCTTGTATAGAAACTAGGATTTCTTCCATAGGTGTTGCTGACTCACTTTGCAAAAGCAAATTTTTCTCCAGTGGTGGAGTCATCAAAAGTACTTCTGAGTGATCAGCGTTTACACTGTATTTATTATTTTGACTGGTAAAAATAGGGAAAGAATCTTTTTCATCAACATTGCATACCAAGGATGGGTGGGTGGCACACGCCTATAATCCCAGTGGCTTGGGAGGCCAGAGAATTGAGAGTTCAAAGCCAACCTCAGCAATGGTGAAGTGCTAAGCAACTCAGTGAGACCCTGTCTCTAAATAAAATACAAAATAGGACTGGGGATGTGGCTTAGTGGTTGAGTGCCCCCAAGTTCAAAATAAAACATAAAAAACCCATCACATACTAGAGAAGGGCTTCATTAACTATAGCTTACAGAATGTAAGAGTTTAGTTTTGCAGTGGCACATCTCTTTAGGAAAGGAATTTAATGAATAAAATATGCAGCCAACTTTTTTTTTAAATATCTTTTTTTAGTTGTATTCGGACACAATACTTTTATTTATTTATTTATTTGTTTGTTTATTTTTATGTAGTGCTGAGGATCCAATCCAGCACCTCACACATGCTAAGCCAACGCTCTACTACTGGGCTACAACCCCAGCCCCACCAGTTAGTTTTGATGGCAGATCCTTAGAAGTTTTACATACCTTATTTTTCTTCTTGTTTTCTTATTTGTCTATCACCTGAAGTTTTCTGGTCACAATTTAGGAGTTTCATATCTGTGTAAACACGGGTAATGTGAGTTTTGTTGGCAGATGGTACTTCTGGACAAATAGTGTAACTTGTTTTAGATGCTTGTTTTCTCAAGTTTAAGATTGCTTCCTGGTAGAGTGTGATGCTTAGGCCACCTCATAAAGTGTTTTATATTCGTTTTTAAAAATTTTATTTATTAGTTGCTTTATATTCTTGCAAAAGACTTAAAATTTCTCCTGTAAGTCAAAAAATTAGTCAAATTGGATTGTTCATATTGGAAAATATCCACTGTGTTTATGCATGTGATACAGAAAGGGTCAGACTATTGGGATAAGAGTGTAGGTTTTGGAGTCAGTCTTGGATTTGAGAGCTAGCCTCTTAGTTTTGTGCACATAATCTCATCTGTAGGTGGTGACAATGCCTACCTCAATGGTGAGGAGTAAATGAATACAAATAAAATGTTTTACATGGTGCCTAGCATGATTAACCACTAATAAGTGTTGTCATTATCATTACCTGATGGCAACCACCACAGACCATCTTTTTGTCTTAAAGTTGTATGGTTTTCCTCCCCAAACACCCCATCCTACTGATACAGCCTTGGGGTACCTGTTGGTTAGTTTTCTTATGACTGGGGTCATTTTGATTTCAAATTTGAAGTTGTGTTCTGTTTCACCTTTGCTACTGCCTCACTGGCCCCAACATAAATCAGTGCCCTTTGTGCTTCACTTTTATCTTCAAACTGCGCTTAAATATGTTTGTCTTCTTTATTCTCCCTTTGCAAAGGTTGTTATAAAAACATGATGAGAACACAAGTATATCACATTTTCACATTTTGCTTATTAATGAAGTCTTATTCTTGGGCCCACTTTGGTCAGTATAGTATATAATCACAAAATAAACCTGATAACCTATATGTGTCTACATTAAGCATTTTTAGTAGTATGGGGCATTACAATGTCTATTTGACAATGAGCATTTTACTAGGGAACAAATTGAAACCTACGGTTATAGGCAGCTGTTTTGGGTTATGCTTTAAATAAATTTGCACTTCAGTCAGACTAATACCTTATTGGCCTTCTTGACTTGATTTCCAGTTATACTGTCCAGATCTGGATGATTGATATAACCTTCGTGCAAAGTTCAAGTTCACTTTATACTTTTTCCCCTCAAAATGGTAGTTGATTCAGTATTCAATTGTGATCAACAGGAATAAATACATTGTTTCCTTTTTGTCAGTAGACACCTTCATTTGTTGTAATGTAAATGGAAATGGTAGAAACACTTGAGTATAGTATAGTTTGGAATTTTTCATGTGAGTATAAGCACATTTCTTGTTAAACAAAATGGACTAGTAATCTTTTTTTTTTTGGTACCAGGGATTGAACTTGGACACTCGACCACTGAGCCACATCCCAAGCCCTATTTTGTATTTTATTTAGAGACAGGGTCTCACTGAGTTGCTTAGCACCTTGCTTTTGCTGAGGCTGGCTTTGAACTCTCAATTCTGTCTCAGCTTCCCGAGCCACTGGGATTACAGGCTTGTGCCACCATGCCTAGCCTAATAAACTCTTTTTTTTTTTTTTTAATATGATGGACTAATAATCTTATGAAGACTTTTTACTGAAGTTCAGGAGAGAAGGGTGTTCTAATGTCCCAAAAGAACTTAAGACCTTTTTCATTCCCCACAGTGCTGCCTTAATTTTTAAACCCACTTGTAGATAAAGTGCCAAAATAGGCAAATATTTCATTAAGGTTGTATGTAAGCTTGGTTTGTGAATATCTTGAAGTGGAAATGATGGTATATGGAAGCCTGCTTGAGTTTCCTAAAAGTGAGTCATTTCCTGTTATTAATAAATTAATACCAAATCATGGGAAATAGGGCGTAAACTTATTTTAATTATAATTAAAAGCGAATGTTAATAATGTTGAACTGCAACTGCCAAGGAACATAGAGTATATATGCCTAAAGTATTTGATTCTATTGATTCCCAAGTTGTAGGAATCAGTATCAATGGAAAAAGACTTCCAGCTAAACTGATCATTAGGTTCGTGTGTGCCATTTCTCTTTTCCATGTTCAACATAGGTTTAAGCA